AACTTGGATTTTATGTTTCTAAACAAGTTAGATTTTTTATTTTTTTCCTAAGTAGGGGCTCTTGGAGTCCCACAAAGGATAATTTGGCTTTTGAAAATTCAAACATGTAAGCTTGAGCTTATAAAAATCTTAAAAGAAGCCGTAGGACACTCATATGATACATTTCTTAGAGTTGAGTGATAAATGATACTATGTTCTTTAACCAAATGGACATTGCATTTCTACCCATGTAAAAGAGTGCAATGAATATTGATTGATACACCTTCAATAACATAGGCATTGGTGGTAGCTTTTAAAGTAGCTATTGCAGTTATATCAGCTACGTATTAAATTTCATTGTGATGATTATGCCAGTTATTAAGTTTCTCATGGGTGCAAGCCCCTATAATTAATTATTTCTCAAATATAATATATACTTAATAATTGATGTGAGGAGATAAGCATTGGATTATTTGAAGAAGAGGATGCTTAAAGGAATTCCAAGTACAATAGAACAAATCAAGCTCAAAGGCTTAAAATCATATAGTATTCATTAATATCCCCATCCTACTACAATGCTTTATATATAAGCTAGCTATTGAATATTCTAGAAAATACTAGGGAAATAGGTACAAGAGGTATTCTATTCTTAAAAAATACACTTAGTTAAGATGTTCCTACATCAATAATGCATCTGGTCAAGTATATTCTAATCGTCTTTATTAATTCAAGTATAGCGATGAGGTTCATTCATCGCAAGGTTCAGAGATTGAGAATCTCCTTGGAAAGGATGACATATATCAAAATATTAGAATGTTATGCAAAGAAAGTTTCAATATGAATCTCTACTATTATAAGGGAGCTTATTCGTTTAACTCAGTATCATGTGCACTAAGCTATATACACTATTCATTATCGTAAAAAAAAATAAAAAACAAATTTTATTAAATTCATATATATATTCTAAATTTGTTTATTAGTTATTCACTATGTGAATTGGGTTGACCTTTATTGCTTTGTTAGTCTATGTATACGACATTATTTTATTGCCAATTATTTTCTTATATAATTAATAATATAAAATCTCTTCCTCACAATCAATTTCAACTCAAATATTTTGGTTATCTTAAATATTTCATTGTTTTTATAATCATTCAATCAAGCACTGAGCTTTTCTTATTTCACAACATTATATTTTGGAGCTCATAGAGGACTCCGACTTTATTGCTAACAAACTTAACGAGGCTACCATTAATCTGCACAACTAACTCAATAGAACCAATGGTGATCTCTTATGCGCCATCATATCAAGCCCTGATATTACTTTTGTTGTTCACCATTTTTTTCGGATAGGTAATGGGATTCAAGTTGGGGTGAGAGGGAAGAATAAACTTCCGTCAACCATTGTGCCACACACTCGATCCCATCGTTCACAAATTAAGTCAATTCATTACTCAACCTAGGTTTATTGCATTATTAGCGAATTGACTTGGTTATATTTTAAATTGCATTACTTAGGAATTTCAATCACTTCGCAAGCACTATTCCATGACAATCAAGCAAAAATCCAATTTTTCAAAAACCCAACTTTTCAAGAACGAACCAAGCATATTAGTGAGTTTTAGATTTTTTATTAGGCTTTGTAAGCCCAATATGTGATTTTATTGATTTTCGATCAGGAAGAGGTCAGAACTATGTGGAGTGAGGAGGATTGAGATGTTAAGGTTTCTCCATTTATTATTTTTATTTTTATTTTGTAGTCAAGAGCTTGAGATAGATTGTTGATTGAAATGATCGATCTCTTGGTTATTGTAAATTTAATTTTGAAGAAAGAACAAATAATTCTTCCATTGCTTCCACTAGACCATTCAAATTACATATTGATGACTTTATAAAAATTTTGATATTCGATTAAAAGATAAAATAGACAATCTTTCCAATTTAAGAATTGGAATGTGACAAATTTGGTATCCGAGTAATGTTTATTAGAGGAATTTGACAGCAACTAAAGCTTAAAATTGATTATGCGTGAGGAAAAAGTTGAGTAATATAGATTTTCATCTATGTATTTGATTGATTTATTTTTATTTGCATGTATGTTGTGTTGTGTGTTAATCAACTAGGAAAGAGAATTATATTAGTTGACACATGGATCTTATTGATGAGGATATATAGAATGGATAGAGTGCAGCAACAATTCTAGTGAGTTTTGACAGCTTAATGCAACTTGCTAGTATGCTTGCATCGATAATGAGTGACGCCCAAAGTAGGCTTGACATAAGTAACTAGAAGAGGATATAAATCTATGAATATTTTATAAATTGAATCTGCAATTATTTAAGAGAGCTGTAGAACCTCAAATAGTAGAATAATGGTTGTTAAGGATATAGAAAATATTCAATAGTATATATATAGTGACCAGAGAACATGAAAGTGACACTAGTAGTGTTTCTGTTTGAATGAGAAGCTGAGAGATAATGGATATGGCAGTAGCGGGAGAAGTTTTAGAGAAAGCAAATGCATAGATTACTTGGACATAGTTTGTTAATATTTTCAGACGGGTTTGTACCTCCATTGGCTCAAAAATAAATGCACGAGGCTTTTATGAGATTGGAGTAGGGAGAAAAGATAGTTGATATAGTATGAAGCTGAATTTATGACACTTGTAAGGTATGCTCCACAGTTAATTAATATAGTGGAAGAAAATTGCAATAGATTTTTTAGGGGTCTACAATATGAATTGAGACATCCACTTGTCCCATTAAGAATTCAACAAATTTCAGAGCAAATTGAGAGAGAAAGATTAGTGGAAAATGATTTATCTATACCACAATTCAGAAAAGATATGAGCATGAAGGGATTGAGAGATAATATGAGCAGGAAAGATAAAATTGGAAAGATAATTAAATCTTTAGACTGTAGGAAAAGATTTGAGACAAGTGTGGGAAGTGTACATGAGTGTGTTCGATGTGGTAACTGGATAATATTTTTTTTATGATAAGATAATGTTTCATATGTGGCAATGAGGGCAATATGAGATGGTTGATTGTCCATTATAATGGCAAGGAGAAAGATCTGGATTCATAGGAGAGAAGGCCAGACAATGGGGTTTAAACAGAGGATTATTGGATCTAGAGGATATAGTGAAGGGTTCGTGCATAAGATAGATGGACAAGGAGTTATTTAAGGTCAACGAGAACCTGCACGGTCTACTATGCCAACACTAACACCAGTATGACCCAGAGTTTATATTTTGATTCATCATAATGATAAAGATGCACATGAAAATCCATTAGTATAATTTTAATCTTGTGCACTAAATTTTAAGTGATTAGTATTGTATTGCATGTTGAATTACATATGATTGGATTAACATGCATAAGTATGTGATTGAACTCTTGATTGATTGAATGCAATGAATGATAAATCAAAGATCAGTGTTGTTTTGAATTTTAGTGAACAAATTTAAATTGATTTTATTTTGAATTGAATTGATTTGTTTTGATAAATTTATGAATTGAATTTTTTTTCATTGATTTATTTTGTTTGTTTTGATTGTTGAAATGTTGAGGGTGATATTTTTTAAGGTGGGTAGATTGTAATAACTTCATAATTATGAAAATAATTTTAAAATAAATTAAAAATGATAATATGAATTTTTGTCTGAAATAAAGCTATAGTGTTGTGCATGTCGGTGCAATGACATTGAGCCTTTGAGCTCAGCGATGCCAGAAATTTTCTCTGTGGCATTTAAGGTTCTATTCTACAGTAATTCTAGATTTGACGTGCAACGCAGCGGCACTGGGCCACTTTGGTGTCGTGGTGCATGCTTCACACTACACCTAGCCCTTAGGCTTGCCAAGAAAGGAAAGGAAGGGGAAGAAGGGGAAGAAGGGGAAGAGAGAGAGGAGACAAATGAATTCACATGGTTGTAAAAACTGCAGCTGGCTACCACAACTTGGCATGCCCGCCAGTCACTATTGGTCACCATCAACTAATGCTGATGACAACTAGCTGTCACCGCCTCCATCCTCACTACCTACCACAACGAGCCATCATCCACCACCATCACCATCATATTTGAGATAAAAAAATAATCACCTACATTCACTTTATATTCATCCAAATATCTTTAAATATTTTAAATATATAATATTCTTTTTTACTCTCTTATTATATATTTTCCCAACCAAAGAGCTCTTAGTTACCAGAGCCATGAAGAAAATGAAGAGATCTTGCTTTGCAAGATTTGGAACGAACCATGGATAAGAAACAAAGAGAGACAAGTACAGTAAAGAAAGCTTATCTTATTACAATGAAACATATTACAGAGACTACAAATTATATATAGACTACTAGAGCAAAAAGAGACAAGAAAGCTAAACCAATGAGAGAAGGACGCCTCATTATTTGTTTTTATTTATTTCATTTTGTTTATCTACTAATAAGCCCTACATGGGGTCATGGTTGGTACCCATTGGGTACCCACGCTTTGCCCTGGCGGGCTTTGCCCATCCAAGCCCACCTATGGTGACTTTCAAGATGTCATATCAACCCACACCCACCAACTTTCCACTCTTCTTGAATGCAGTCTGCCACGTATTATTGGCCTTGAGGTTTGTTGCCCTTTACTCTGACTGCAAACTTTCAAGCCACATATCAAAATTTTTCATGGTCACGGTGTGGTTTAGTATTGCGCACTACGTAGTAAGGATTATTATAATATATTGCATGCATATGATGATTAGTAATGTAAATCGATTTGTCCCTTGATGTTGAGTACCCACCCACGAGACCATGGGGGTACCCATACCCACCCATGCCCATTGGGTATGAGTGGGTGTGGGTATGGGTACCCAATATAGGTCTCTATTAGTTACCTATAAAATCCTTGCATGAACATATATGAATTTACATTCCTAATTGACCAGATGATTTTTCCGTTGAAGAAAATAAAGAAAAATCTATTAGCCATATGAAGAACCTAAACGTGCATGACTTGGATCTTACTCGAAAATCATTGTCAAGTAAATCACGACAAGTACAATATTTAATTCGTTTAAAACACCAACTGCCTTCTCCAAACAACCGGTCAACACCTATCCAAAACTCTTTTCGGTCAACGAACTTATTAAAAAATGCCAGGTGATCAAATGAACCTACCCAATCCTTTTCTAACCTAACTTCATCACTAATCTTCAACCAAAAAAAAAAAAAAAACACTTCATCACCAATACATTCAATTACAAAACGTTTATAAAATAAATAAAAATCCAAATTGAATACATGTATCTGATAAATATTCCCAAAAAATTATCTATTTCGTCAGAAAAAATCTTTTTTTTTTGTAACTCTATCCAGAACGAGAAGGTGGATCCCTGCTGGATTCCGTCCACGGCGGCGACGGCGACCCACTACCGCCACCGCCCGGTGGCCAGAAAATACTCATGTGCTGTCCTGCTTCTGACGCAGGCGAGTAAGATGGAGCCATCGGAAACGGCGATGAAGACACCGAACTCGAACCTCTCGTCAACGAATGAGAACCGAAAGACGAAGACGTATGAGAAGTCGACGCCATGGATGAGCTCGAATACATCAACTGATCCAATAACGCTGTGGGAGGCATCCCCTGATACTCCCCTGTTCCCTGCAACAATCTTGAGTACTCCACGTAGTCTCTAGTAACGTCCATTGTTTGGGAACGTGGCGACGGCCAAGACCCTGACATTCGAGCTGGAGGACCAGATTCCGGCAACCGGATCGCCGGAGATACATTGATAGGCTGCCGGAGCTCGACAGCTTCAGGAAAGTTGAGTTTTGCTCTGTTTCCTCGGAAGCGGAGCGCCGCCTCGTCGTATGCTCTGGCGGCGGCCTCAGCTGTTTCAAAAGTGCCGAGCCAGACGCGGGCCGCCTTGTGTGGATCTCGAATCTCCGCCGCCCATTTCCCCCATGGCCGTTGCCGGACACCTCTGTATCTCCGGTGAACTTCTTTCTCGGCGTCGGGGGGTGCTTTTGGTTCTTCATGCAGTGTCGCCGGAGTTGATGGAACAGGGGATTGTCCTGTTGGTGGAAAGCTATGCGGACTACGCTTCTGTGCTGTGTAATGGCATGAAAGAGAGTTAAAAAAAAGGGAAGGTGAAGGAATATCAAGAAGTAGAAAATAATTATCATATAGTTATTTGATTATTTCTTTAATTCCGTTCAATTATCTCAGACTCCTGAGAAAAGACTGATAGAGGTGTTTAATCATAGAAGATCGAGTAAATGTTTCTAGAAGATAAACTAAGTAAAACGAGCAGATAAGGTTACGAAAGACTTAAAATATTAGAAAATTAAGTCACCCTCAGCAGCAGACAAGGCTTTTGAGTTTATCTGCACTTTCGGAAATTGGAAATAATTGTTTTTTAAGCTAGTTAATCGATTCATGATCAGAACTGCACGCTTGAAATTAAGAAAAAGTAAACAATTTCTATAAAAAAGACGTCTTTTCTCCAAAAAAATTCTCTTGTATTAGAACATGTTCGTGAGAATTACTACAAGAATTATTGTTCTTCTCTCAGAAATAACAAAAAAGATTAAAACTTTAACGGAATTTGGAGCTTTTATGGCTGTCTGGTATGAGATTCCATAACTTCATTTTTTAAATTTATTTGGATATAAATAAAAGGATTTACTACATTCTAAAATCCTACACATTTCCTTAAATTCTGGAATTGAGATTAATCAGTACTAATCAAGAATTGGAGCTGAATTCAGTCAAATCCAATATTTAAGAAGGCTTCAAGTTCGAAATTACAAACATAGTTTGATTTTAGGATAAAAAAATTGCATTTTTGAGTCGCCCATGCATGAAAAGGGATGAAACAGAGGAAGATGAGAAATGAGGGATATATACAAATTCATAAAAATCTCTCTTTTACGTACCTGCAGAACTCGAAGAAGACTCCCCTGCTAAGAAGCCTGTGTAATGCCTCGCAAGCTTCGGACTCATGAGCTCCTCCCTCTCTCTCTTAATCCCGCTACCGCATCTTGAGATGAATGACGACGACGGCGCCGACGACAACGGAACCCCCGCCGGCTGCTCACTGCCGGTAACAACACGTGTTAAAGCCGATACTATAACCGACATCTCCTGCTCCCCACCAAATCTAGATAGCAGCCCAACGACCGGCGGCGCCGATGACTTATAAGCCGCGACCTTTACATCAGCTGTTTGAGCGGCCGCGACCGTTACATAAGCTGTTTGGGCGGTGGATCCCGCTTCTTCTTCTTCCTCCTCCTCTCCCGCAGAGAAGAACCTCTTAATATCATCTGACTCGCTCGGTTTCGCCACCTTGATAATGCACATGAAAGCTGGAGTTAGTCAATTTTTCGCTTCGAACATAAAAAAGAACTTCGGCCCTTTTTGAATCGCAGGAGATCAACTTCAATAAATAGGAAAAAAACATGAAAACGTGCAGCGCCGCGCCGCTTTAGTTACAGAGGGTTTTCCACTACTTTGAATTTTTAATGTTTTGAAAATCCCACGACTGGTTCAAAGTTTAAAGATTCAAACGGTGCTTACTATAATAAATTTTAAATAATTTTACTGCTTATTTAAATAATATAAAAAGAAAATATTATATAAAATATAAAGAACTTAGTAACTTACATTTAAAAAGTAAAATTTCATTCTATTATATTTATTAAAACTTAAAAACTTTTTTTTTTCAATTATAATATAATTGATTGAAAAAATTTATTTTTTATTTGTTAAAAGAGAATGGTGAAATATCCGTATTTATATATTTCATATTCAAGTTTCACATCATCCTAAATATTGTGTTGGGTCAGAGGCAGAAGACGAGGAGTTTATGATGGAAATTATCTTGGAGGCCTTAAAGAGTATGTAGCTAGAGGTCAAGATGGGAATGATCTCATTGGACATTGCAACAGATCTTGCATATATTAGAATGGTTGCATGTGAAACTAAGGTCAGGACGGCGGCGTGCGAAGGTGACGATCAGATTAATTTTCTGTGAGAAAGACATTGAAATAGTGCTGAGATTCATAAGAAAAATTTTAATAATGTTTGTGGGATTTTTATTTTGTTGTTTTAAAATTGGTAAAGAGAATCGTAATTCAAATATTATAGATTTGAGACATAAATTTAATGATTTATAACTAATTATTTCAAAAAACAGAAAATTAATGAAAAAAATAAATTCTAGAAGCAAGAGAGAGTGTCAACTAAAAGACTTGAAGCATAACGAGACATTCAATTTGAGGATATTCTTATTAAAATTAGTCAAAATGAGCTTTAATTGTTTTGTTTTAAAATAAATATAAAATATCAATAAATTATTATAACCAATAAATTATTATATAATTTTAAAAAATTAATTATTAAAAAATAAAATAATATAATGGATTCAAAGAAATGGCTCCGGGAAACTATTAACGTTTTGGCAGTTTTTTTGTTAGTAATCTCTTATTTGGCGGAAGTTTCTCAATTGGCCGAACCGACATAGTGTTTCTTTCGAAATTTTAAACCGGTTAGTTTTTTTAATGAGAAAATAAAAGTCGGCTGGCAAGGCGGTTCACACGGACTTGACCGCCTCAATCGTGAAGGGGTACGAGGAGGAGGTCTTAGAATTGGATTTGATGAGTTGCAGCTGACTGATCCCTATTTTAATGAAGGAATTGTGACTCTTTGATTTACTCCAAGGACAATCTAACTGAAATTTCATATTTAAACTTTAATAATTATTATATTGAGTGGAAGGCTCCATTTGGAACAACTTTATTAATACTTTTTAAATTATTTTTTTAATAGGGGTGTTAATATTTGACAAATCCGCAGTAAAATAAAGAAAATTCATTGCAAAATATAATTTGCAGCTGAATATAATCCGCTGCAAAAAAGTGGCATCGTAATTTTTTTTGGAACAGGGGAAAATCCACCGCAAATATTTCCGACCGATTTGCGATGGATTTGTGGCAAAATTACAGCAAAAAAAATAAAAAAAATATCACAAATTATGCCTAGTCGCGCTTAACCGAGCTACCCGCGCCATCTCTTGCCTGACCAGCGTGCCTGATTTTGAACACTACTCCACTCTTCAAAAACCATCACCCTTCTCCACTCAGCCACTAAGACAAAAACAGTTAAGAGAGAGAGAGAGATATATATATATATATATATAACTCAACTTGCAACGGATTTCCAGCATCAATTTTAGACGCAAATTTGTGGCAGAATTTATGTAACAAATCTGCTATGAAAAACATTAAAAAATCTTTACAAAAAAATTCATCGTAAATTCGTCGACATTTGAGATGGACATACCATAAATTCCACCGCAAAAAATTGACTTTCCATTAGCGTGTCAAAGATATCACCGTCTAATTGCTTGCTCTCGTAATTCTAGCCTATAAAAATGACAAAATAATCAATAAGTTGCATCTTTGATGATATTGTACACAAGATTAAACATATGTAACTTATGTGTATTTAGGAATTCATGATCATGAGGCTGATAAGATCTTCTTAGTAAGTATATTCTTCTCATCATATTCCTATCATTTTGATGATAATCATACTATTTTTCTTAATCCATAATCAACATGTAAATCATCCAAACTTATTTTCACATGAAAATATTTAGATTGGGTATTAGTATTATCGCAATTTGCATCATATTCAACTACTTCAACCTTTCTTTTCAAGTATCTCTTCATAGCTATAAAATAAAATAAAAACCCCAAATTGATATATAATTAAGTAAAAAAGAATTAATGTATTTTAACAAAATAGCAATATATTTTTAATGAAGAAATTGCAATCCATGTATGATTATTTTAACTTGAATTGAAAATTGCCATCCTCCTCTAGGTAATGTACAAAATTATAGTTTATTGGATTCTCTTCTCTAAAATTCCTGTCATAAGTAATTTGGTTAAAATTTAATAAAAAAATTATAAATTACATTGAAAAGACCCGCATGGGATTCACTGAGATGAGATATGGGAGTGGAAAATCAGGTGTGGGGAAGGATGTTTTAATAAAGATTGAGAAAGTCTGCTCGCGTGCTTGGTGGGAACCATAATTTGTGTTTCTTTCCATAGCTTTTGTCCTCCCGCCTCCACGGGGAGGGTCTCCCTCCCCTTCCACCCCATGGCTTCTTCCTCCTACCTCAGTGATTTCCCTCCTCTACCAGGATAGTGGCTCCTTCGGCCTCCGCTTCGTCTTGTCTCAACTTCATTTCTAACATCACTAATCATAACCCTGTGGCTAGCAACTTTGATGTATCCCTCATCAACCCGCCTGCTAGAGTTCCTTTTTTTGTGGATGATCTGGATCTCGGTGTTCCAAATGGGGTCTGTCGCTGGCCGGTTACTCGGTCGGCCTTAGACCTATCTATATGAGCCTTAAGAACGCGATAAAGAAGGTTTGGTCAATCAAAGGTTTGGTTGAACTTTTATCCCTTAATGATGAATTTTTCTTGTATAAATTCTCTTCACCTAAAGACTTTGAGGTTGCATGGTCGGGTGGGTTGTGGTTCTTCTTTGGAAAACCGTTCATTCTACAAAAATGGACACGTAAGTTTAAACCTAAGCGGGATAAATGTAACTCTATTCCCATTTGGATTAAGATTGTGGATCTTCCTTTAGTTATTTGGAACCCCTTGAGTATATAAAAAATTGCAAGTTTTTTTGGGCAACCTTTGGCGGTCAATGCCCTTATGGCTAGGAGGACTTGCCTCATATTTGCTCCTGTGTGTGAGATGGTCAACAATGAATCCTCTTTCCCAGATGAAATTCCAATCTCTATGGATGGAGATGATGTGTCTCTTAAGGTTATTTACGATTGGAAGCTTTCTCCTTGTGTTGGATGCAAATCACTTGTTCACCCCTCCAATCTCTGCCACAAAAATCCATAGCCTAAACCTCAACCTCAGAATCTCAATCGGGGAAGGAGAACTAGCCGTGCTCGAGCTGGCAGGGTTAATCTGAAGGCTCATTCTCTTCCTCCCCCACCCAGGTTCCCATGAAGGCCCCTGTACTTCTTCCCTCCTTTGTCATTCTTGCAAACGCCAATAAACCTACCCCAACAATTCCCCCCTCTACAAACATCACGGTCTATTCTTCCTCACTCGATATCATTTCTGTCTAATGCATCCCCATGCAAGTCATTCCCCTGATTGCCCAACCTCCACAAACAACTCAAACTAATCCTCTCTCTCTCTCTCTCTCTCTCTCTCTCTCTCTCTCTCTTTGAGAATCCTCCATCATACGCTCCCAAGGATGATTCTATTCCAAATCTAAACTCTCCTTTGGATGAAGTATCTTCATTTGAACAATCCCCGTCTTGGAACCTTTTCCCATAATAGCAAATTAGTACAGTTTCCTCCTCACAAAGTGCCCTTATCTCCTCTTTTGAGAGGAGCCGACAAAATGCTACTATTACGGCCTCCCACAACAAATTTTCCATCTTGCAGATGGATGATCATATGGACTATGTTTTCCAAGTTGTTGGCTTTGTCGATTGGCCACAATCTGAGGACAATCCAAATATGGGTCAATCTAAAAAATCTCAATATGCCAAATCTACCAAAGCCAAAGGTGCTAGGAAAGCACATCAACCTTCTTCCAAGTCAAAATGATCCTTCCCTCTCTCGGCTGCTGGAACATTCGGGGTTTTAACAAACTAGAAAAGGTTCTAGCCTGTAAGAATTTGATAGCCTCTTATGACCTCAATATTTTGTGTATCCTGGAATCTAAAATTTCATCTCATTCTCTCTTTGAGCCATGATTCATTAACACTCATCAAATCTTCCCTAATGAACAAAGCTGTAACAACTTCATCTCTTCCTCTCTTGGGAGAATCTGGTTGACGTGGAATCCTTCCTCTATCTATTTTACTCCTATTATATTTAATTCTCAGTTGATTCATGGCACTCTCCTTTTTGGAGCTTTACCCCCATTCTTCTTTCTGTGGTGTATGATGCTAACAACTTGGTTGATAGAACTCCTCTGTGGCAACAACTTTTTGTTTTGGCTAATCTACCTCCTCCCCGTGGATCATCATGGGTGATTTCAACTATTACAGAGATACTAAAGACAAATCAGTTGGTGCTTCTACGCACTTTAGCATATTGGGGGAACTGAATGGGTGGATGTTTAATTCTGGCACCATTGATCTCAACTCGACTGGTTTGAAGTATAGTTGGTTTAATGGTCGTGTTGATGACCCCATTCATATTAAACTTGACAGGATGCTTGTTAACCAAAAATGGCTTTATACCTTCCCCCTCTCCTATTACAAGTTGGTTCCCCCCATCTATTCAGACCATTCCCCCTTGCTGCTTATGTCGGGCCAAGCTTCTTCTGCGGCTAGTAGATTTCAATTCAA